CCACATACTTGCTGTGTAGAACTCTATTTATGCAGAGTTAACATTATATTCTAAACGGCTTATCCAAATTGTTGGTGCCAAAGGTTGGTGATTGTCGTGTTTGTTGTGACCCAAACTCTGTACTTCATTTTGCCTTTATTGAATTCACTGACGAGGGTATGTAATTCAAAGTGACGGTTTGGTTGTGTGGCAAACCTTTGGGTTGATTACCCGTGTGCAGCGTGCCTCCATGAACGCGGACGGAGGCACAGCGTGCACGCGGACGTACGCAGCGTGCCTCCGTACGCATGCACGGAGGCACGCACGCTGGTGCCCCGTGCACAGCCACGCAAGAAATCAGAAAGGTCCCTGAACAAATAATTTTGTCGGAGGTGCGGCGTATGGTCGAGGAAATGAAAGTTTTGAATAAGAAGTTAGACGAAACCGTGCGTTTACTTTTCTTGTTAATCTGGCTACATTTCTCTTTACTGTATGATAAACCAATTTCAGAACTTCTGATTTGTAGTTTTTTGGTTATGCCACATGGTTTTCGCATATTAGGGAGGATGTTTGTGAAATGTGAATAGGGTGCTTTGGCGTTTAATATGAAGCTTGTGCACACATTGGCCACACCAAAGAGAATTGTGATTTTGGTTGTCCTATGACTTATGATTGTCCCATAATATGGTTGAATTGTCATAATCATATAAGGAAACACGAGTTGGATGGTCAAGATAAATTGATCTGTGATTATAGCTCCACGGGGGTCGTGTGGTTGTATGATGGCAACATGTGGAATTAATTGATTAATTTTCTTGACACGGTCTAAAGGTCAAGTTGCTTTGCATATTCTGTGTGGTTGTAATGCATTTTTATTTAAAGAATAATTTTGTCTTCCTGTTGACGTGCTGTAGTAATCATGAATTTGATTATTAGAATAAGAAAGAAACTAAAATTAGTCTATTTTACAATATATACCTATCATTTTCTCTATTCAGAATATTCTTATGCTTTGAAGAGTTGCGCTGCCAACAAAGGCCTTTATTGTAGGGCTTGAAAGATTCTGTTACTGAATGAAATTGGCTCTCCTATGTCTACAAAGCATTAAATCAGGCACATACATTTTCACATGCAGACTCACATACTTATAACATGTGTATGTAAAAGGTGTTTTCTTGAACAAGTATATAGATATATAAGAATAGAATGCCCAATTTTTACTGCCTACTGGTTGCCTTTTGCGTGGCTTTAGTCAGTGGTTGCCCAAATGGTGTCACCCTGTCATTATGATCTTGTCCATTCAATGAAAACAAATCGCTTTTTGGTAATAAGTTATTATATTTGCACCGGTTGATATTTATGAATTCTTGTTTCGCATAAATTAGAATATTTGTCAAGATCTGATCTTGTCTGTGGAATTTAGCTGCTATAAGTTCAAATCTTCTTTTAAGGAACTCAATTCTCTATTTATCAGCATCTGTGGGGCAGAAAATGGAACTTCTTATGGTGCTGTACTTTGTAATTACTTGCCAATGAAAGTACTTTACTGTACAGACTCTCCTTTTAGTACACCATATTACTACTTGCCACTTGGATGGAGGCTGCCTCCATCCACACCATCCAAGTGGATGGAGGCATGGCGATGTCTCCGGAGGTGTCCTGCCCGCACACGCGATTTTTTTTTACTAATAACATTTTTTCCTTTTCAGTTGCTTTCATGACTATATCTTTGAAACTATGCTATGAAATTTAGCTCATGATTAATATATTTTGATGCTAAGAAAAAAACGAGGCAAATAGATATAAATCTTTTGTGTTCATGTTGTTGATTATTTTATTACAGCATTCACTTTTCCTTCATCTATCCAATTCTATGCTTCTGTTTTATTCTGTACCAAAATACATTTATATACCTTGTTATTAATTGCCAAATTAAAATTTTTTGCATTTGTTATAGTAGATATCATACACACTATTTAGTACCGAACTAAACTCAGAGACGTGCATTGCACGTGCCTCCACTAGTCTAGAAGAGAAGAGAGTGAGAAAATTGCCCTGGACCACATATTGAAATGACAACTTTCTTGTGAGTCTACTTAACTGAAGGGTGTTTACATCAAAATGCTGCCTTCTCTTTAGGATTCAAATAGTATTTATTCATCTTCTTTCTCAGCTGTGAGTAAACTACATAATAAAATTGCCAGTTGGGACACAATTTGAAACTGGCACCAAAGTTGCTTTGCTGCAGCCCTTTTTACCTGTTGTGATTGCCGCAGATGAGAAAGAAAGGATAAGGTGGGCAAATCTCAGTATGCCAGATTCATAATTTCTGTGATTGTTTCATTTATTGCTTTGGTTTCCATTTCTTGGGCTTGGGGTTTTGTGTAATGTCTAACTGGGTATTAATTCTATATTGCTCCATCAATCTGCAACAGTTTTCAAATTTTAGGTTTGACATGAGGTTGAACATTAGGGAATATGAGAACAAAGCAAAAAATAAATATAGAATCACAACTTTTCAAGAACTTTTACCAGTATTGAACACCAAGATGAGAGTAAGCTTTAGATGTATCTCGACCTAATAAAAGAAGTAAAGGAAGTTGGTGAGGTGCTTTGTTTCCATTTACTGAAACTGCAGTTTTAACTTTTTAAATGCTAAACAATGTTAGTATAAAACGGAGAAGAGTCTAAGCTTAAAACTGGAAATTTGAAATTTCTATGTTTGTGTTGCCTGGGATGAGGCTTTTCTGTTTCTTGGTTTATGATGCTCTGAGTTGTGAAGTTGCAGAGCCTACTGCTGTGTTATGCATGGGCATGATTTAGAATCTCTTAGCCTTTCAGTTTTTTTGAACATCATGTGAATTTAGTGAACTTACCACATCTTTTGTGCAGAGTTTTGATGTGGTTAACTCTCTTGCGAAGCTCTGAAAATTATTTTCAATTTTATTAGGGTTAACTTTTATGTGACTTCAGTCAAATCAATTCGTTTTTATGGTTTTTGGGCATTTTGTGTAACATGTCGATTTCCTTGTGCATGTTATGTTAGGGTCTCGAATTATGAGGAAGATACACTGTTTAACAGCTTTGATAACCATGATTACCTTTACAAAGGAATTTCAAAGTTGTGTCTAATTAATGAGCTTGATAAGAGCTTGCTTCTTGTTGCTTCAAGTAAATCTTTTTCTGCATTGTTCCAGTAGGCAGACACTTGTATAGATTTCTTATCCATGCTTGATTTTAATTATATCTGAATCATATTGAGCTTTTCTTAATATAGAAGATGGAAATATCCGGATCTGGAAAGATTACATGTCGAAGGGGCATCAGAAATTAGTTACTGCATTTTCTTCAGTTCAGGGTAACAGACCTGGTGCTCGCGGTGTAAATACTGTTGTGGATTGGCAAAAGCAGTCTGGATATCTTGTATGCTCCCTCTATATACTGTAATAGGCACATGTTAACTGATATGGGGATGAGTATGCTAATTTTAATTTGTCGTGTATTATTTTTCTGATGCATTTTCTTGGTGAGTCCAAACTAGTTTATATCGGGTGAAATGTCATCTATCATGGCTTGGGATATGGACAAGGAGCAACTTGTCAATACCATTCCCTCGATATTGGATTGCAGCGTCTCAGCATTGGTGAGTTTTACCTTTCACTTTCTCAAATGAACTAATTATTGTTAGTTGACGAGTTGTGCATTCAGTGTTTTCATTCTGCTTTCTGCTTGCAAACGACATACATAATTTTCTTGAATTTTTTGATATATGCTTGAATTCAGTAGATAAAAGTTTGATTAAGATATGCTGGAATTTTCTACTGTTCTCTCCTTGAGATGTGAAGCAACATTAAGACTTCTGATCATTGCCTTTAAGTGTTAATATTTTGTGCAACTCTTAGGGATTTTTTGAAGTATACTCTTGTACACTTGAGAGCCCCTTTGGATCTTAACATCAATGGTATACTTGAGGGCTCAAAAGAAGTTTGTGTCCCTAACTTCTATCTTGTGTAGCATTGTACTTTTGTTTCGGTATACTCAAGGATGCTCTCTGGATGCTGCATATGAAAGGAGATGGTTGTGGTTGATTATGGTTTCCTTTTGGTAGGAACTAGGAAGTGAATACCACAATATTTCTAGTTGCACCAGTGGGGTCTCTCCCCTCACTCTGTGGTCCCTTTCCCAAATATCTTGTTGAGCCTCGAACCCGGATCCATGATATGTGCTCCCAAAATTGGCAAAAGCGTGTTTACTAAAAGGCGTTTCTTTTAGTGTTGAATTTCTATCCTGATGATGACACGTGGTCTTCTACTGGCCGTTTGATCTGTGGTTTCTGGTGTGTGATATAAATACCCACTTGGATGGATTTTTTATTCACTTGGTCTCTGGCTTTTCTCCTTCCGCCGTTCTTCTAGGTTCTTCTGAGAGTTTACCCTTTTATTGTAAACTAGGGTTTGAGATTTCGTGTTCTTCATCCCTTATGATGAACCTTGTAAACTGAGATCTTTAGTGGTTTAGCCTCTGTAATATGTTATCTGAGTGATAGTAGCGAGAATAAGAGGTTTCTTGCGGTCTTGTAATTTCAGTAGGCTGTTGAAGGCTATCTTCTGTGATTCCTTCATTCGATATGCAGTTTGGTGTTAGAGATAGGTGCTTTTGTGCCTTTCTCTTGTATTTTTAAGAACGATATGTAACTTTTGTTGCCATTTTGGGCTTGTTAGTGCAACTGAGCATTTATCCATTTAATG